ACGAGGCAGAGCTGGCCATTGGTGGCGGCAAATGTTAACAATGACGAAACTATAAAATGCATGGCCATGCTCAAGTCAGCAGCAGCAGCAGTAATATTCGACGTTGTTGTTGTTGGGGGAAAGGAAATGCATAAAGAAACTATTCACTGTAAGATAAGATAGCGAGAATTGAAACGATATAAACAGATTTGCAAACATATTCGAGCTTGGCCGGGCTGACATAATGGTAATAGAATGCATTTGCAATAAAACTATAACTGTGGCAGTCGGTTGGTCAGTTGGCCAGTTACTCTCTGGCAAAATGCAAAAAACTACAAATGTTGGACTTGACAGTCTGTGATTCGTATGTGAAATAAAAACCACCACCAACAACAACAGCAACAACGACAAACTGTACTAAATGTGATTTATTAACAAAAATCTCTACTATAATACACATCTATCTCGAGTCTGGTCTTAGATGCCTGAGTGCAAGGAGTTTTTTTCTGTGAGTGTTTTTTTTTTCTCTAAGGCAGGTTGTGTTGGTGGCCATTGTCCAGTTAATACAATAAAATGGCCAATTGTAGAGTCTGCATGTGTGTATGTGTGAATTTGTGATATTGACGTTTTTTGTGCAAGCTTTAAGATTTGCACAGGAAATTGCAAATGATTTAATTGCATTGCATTGTTTTTGTTGTTGCTGTTTTTCATTAGCTATTTTGAAAGCAAGCAAAAAATAGGAGGCAAAACATTTCAATATAATTTCAATCAACATTGCTTGCAAATTACAACAACATTGCTTGGTATGCATAATAAATAGGAAAAAAATATTTGAGTTTTTTTTTTTAATTCCCATTCTAACTATTAATATTTGTATATATTTTTTTATAAATAATAAAGCTGCTGGATATTCAAATTAATTAACCATGTGGAATTAGTGAAAACAAAGTATTGTCAGGCTTATCAATAACAAAAATCCATGGCAACTTAATCGAAGCTGGAAAAGTGGGGGATTAATCACCAGACTCTTTTTTGTAGTCTCATAGTCTGGCCTGACATTCATGCGGAATTCCAGGCTATCAGAGTTGTGAAAAACGCTTTTTGCTTTAATTCTGAAAAATTTACATAACTTTGCTAAATGCCAGGCAGCAGATTGAGCGAGTGAATAACTCAATGCAGTTGCAAACATCACTTATGTCTTTAAATTGCTTTGCCGTGTATTATTTATTTCAATTTATGCGATAATTTTGCTGTGCAGTTTTATGTTAAAAGCTCCAAAGGCGAAAAGGAATTAAACAGCAACAACTGCAGCAACAGCCAATGGCCAACTGGACAGCAGACAAGTGCGTGAGGTGCTAATTGCCAAAGTAATAACAATAATGCCAGACACATTAGTATTAATGATTACGTCAACGACAATACGACAGTGACTGAGACGACGGCCACCATCTTGACTCTGGGCACTCTACACACAGTCAAAGTAGTTTTTGTAACTGTTTCATTGCGTGCTGCTGCTTTTTGTTTTGGTGTGGTGTGGTTTTCTTAGGTAAGCTGAGTGACGCTTTGCCTAAGAGTGCCAGTGTGTGTGTGCGGTTTTCTGTTTAATTTGTTTGTCATATTAATTTTCCAATGGCGTACATATTTAAGTGTCAAATGGAAAGAAGCAAAAAACCAAATGACAAACGTTTTCTAATTGGCTGAAATACACATTCAAATGAAAACGCCTATATTTTAGGTAGAAGGAAAGAGAAGGAAAAACCAAATGAAAAATTTGTAATAAAATACAAATTTTATGTGTGTTCAAAATTAAGTGATAAGTGTTTGTCATTTTCGAACATATTTGAAACTAATTTAAAAATAATGTAAAAACCACTGAATTTGTTTATGTATCATTATTATTTATGAATTACTGGAAGAAAAATGTTAGTATTTTTCTCTTAAATTCCTGCTGTACGAATTGGAAGGAAGTTTGTTGCTTAAGTCTTTTGTTTAGATTCATTGCACTGCGCTTTCTCTCTATTTAATGTTAAATTCTAACCAGAGGAGTCGTTGCATACATTCCTCTCTCTCTCTCCCTCGCTCTCTCTTTTTGGGGGAGAATAACAAACAGAATAGGCCAATGCTACGCAAGAAGGTATTTTAGAGCAAGCGGCTAATTTCTCTTATTTTCTGTTAGAGAACAAACTAGCCAATGTCTATTTATTATTAATTTAATTGTTTAGCAATAAATTTTAATAACAATGCGAAAATTAAAAAGTTGAAATAAATTGCAAAATATAATAAACAATACAATTTTAATTTTCTCTAAGCAATCTCTTTACATTATTTTGCTCAGCACTAGCATCGGTTCTTCACGTTTACTCTGTGTTAGTTAATTTTCTCTTAAATTCCCAATGTTCCAGTTGGAAGGAAGTTTACTGCTTAAGTCTTTTGTTTGGTTTCAATGCACTGCGCTTTCTCTCTTTTTAATGTTCCATTCTATTCATTTCCGATGCAGATGGAGTCGTCTCTCTCTCTCTCTCTCTTTCTTTCAATCTTTTAGTGAAGGAAAATATGCAGAAAAATTGGTTCCTTACGTTTACTCTGTTTTGGTTATTTTTCTCTTAGATACCCAGTGTTTGAGTTGTAAGAAAGTTTGTTTTATTTTTTTAGCTTTTATTTATTTTTTTGCTGAAGAAGCGATTTTCTTAATTAATTAATATTCTTAATTAATGTTTAATTCTAATTATTTAAGATCATAAAATAAATGGGCAAAATAATGAAAGAGATATTTTTAAGAGAATTTTGATATAACTTTCCTTCGTTGAAATTAAAATCTTTTAATATTTTTTAAGCAAAAATATAATTAAAAAACTTAAAAAATAATTTTATAAAAACAATTGTAGAAAATTATTCGTATATATGTTACTCATGATACAGATTAAGAGGAAGCAACGCTACTTGCCCATCCAGGTTTAAGATGTAGATGGAGCTACTTTATCTCTATTTTGCTGAACATGAAAGGCGAAATCAATTTTGAATGACTTTTGGGGTTTATTTGTTACTCCACCCAGCAAATATTTGGAAGTCTTATAAGGCACTTTTTGCATTATACGTTATACAAACCTTTTGGCTTCAACGACTGTTGCTCTCAACGAAAAATCAAATTTTCAAACTAAGATGTTCTTCGTTGGCTAAAAGTCGAATTTCGATTTTTCTACTTTTTGGTAGGCATTTTAAAAATAAAAACAAAGATCGAAGAAAATAATTGTTATCGAAATGATCAACATTTGATTTATAGATGACATTGAATGTCTAACTTTTATTTGAACCTCGATTCGTATGCCCATTTGCTTCATAGATAAAATTCCATAGCTAGGTGGCAGCCCTCAAAAGGAACTTATCACTCAATCCGAAGTTTTATTATTCGTCCATAAAAATGTCTTTACTTTTTCAGGTAAAGGACAGGTTTCCTAATAAGAAATAGGAAAAATGCGTAAAAATTTAGGATTCTTGAACGCAGAGAAGCAGAACTTATATTGGAATGTCAAAACTAAAGTAAATTTGATCCATAGGTGGCGGTGTGGGTATACTTTATATTGGAATGTCACACGGCGACTCATAGGTGTCTTTAATTTGAGTTTTCGAAGATGATTTTTAAGCAGGGTATTGAATTCGAAAAAATGTTTTCTACTCTGCCATAAATAACTATTTGGCAGATATAACCGAGGTTTAAGCAAGGCCGATTCATGAGAAAAAAAACTCCATTTTAAATTCTTTTAAACAACTTCAAAAAATTTCCTAATATTCCTCACAATTTTCCAAATTTCCCGTAAAAAGGATTTGAAGTCCCAGAACATTTATCTTTCGGAATTTAAAAGCCTTTTCCTCTCCCCATAAATTCCAAATAAACAAATGTGCTACACTTTCAAATGAATACAAATTACCTTCAATAATTTGTATTAAGCTGGGAATTATGGAGCCTAGAAAATATAACATAATTTTTCAGATTTTTCTCAACATGGCCAAGGCAAAGGAGCAAAAATTTGAAAAACAACAAATGATTTTGTTGAAATGTAAGGCATATTTCAATGCCACATTAAAGTATTATGATTACAAAATGCAACAACTTAAAATTCAAATCGTTGAATAAATTTCCCCCACAGAATGGAAAAGTGGTAAAGGAAGGCAAGCAGCAGCCAGGTGCTCCAGTGGGCATTAGCAATTCTTAATAATATTTCATGTTGCAGTTCTTTTATTTTTTTTCTTCTTGGGCTAAATCGAAGTGTATTAGGCCACCTTTAAGATTGTGGAACACAACCTGAGGCAACAAAAAAAGGAGAGACAAAGAAGGATTTCCATATGAATACAATTTTCCAGTTAATGGCAGTAGGCACTTATTTTCTTGGCTAGCTGGATGGCTGGCCGGCCTGCCTCTAGATGGTCTGGGCGGCTGCTACAGATAGTCATGTAATTTTCATCAACGGAAATTGAGATATTTTTCATAAGTTATGCACGCTAAAAACTTAAAGCTCATAGAGACAATCAGTTGGCGGTGAGTGGCAAAGGAAGCAGAGACTCCCCGACAACACCTTATGCTGTTCATTGGCTAAACTTAGCTCCCTTTATATTTTTTTTGTGTTTAGCAGCTACTGAATGCTTTTTTGCAATTAAGCTTGATTAGCTTTAATCGCTTGCTGATATTTATGTGTTTTCATTAACATTATGTGTTTTGTGTCGTTGTTGGTGTTGTTGGAGTTCGGTTTTGCCATGCTTCCTTTGTGAACGTTGCTTGAACGAACAATGAATGGTTAAGCAGCCATGAAATCTCCGTTTGCCAGAGGATGTAACATTTAGCTTGTGTGAAATGGCCACGTAATACAGTGGAAATATGTTAAACTAAATTACAACATAAAGGAAATTATTCAATAACTTAAAGTTGGCTGGGAGATTTTGTGGATTTTTCAGGCTCAGACTTTGTTATCATTTTGTTTTATTGGCAAAAAGAAAATAAAAAAATTTAAAAATATGTCCAAACTTACCTTGGCGGAACTTTCCAAAGGATTCCAATAGACTGCTATGGCATTGTGGGAGACTTCTTCAATACAACCGGCCAAACCCACTGAATTCTTGGTATCTATGGGAAAAAGAGATGCGAAAAATATATTTTTACAGAAAAACTGATTAAAAAAAAGAATGTTTATGATTGGCTCATTTGTCATCTTCGGCATGCATGCACACACACATGCTTAGGATGACCATGTTCTTTTACAACTATATACAAATAAATAAATTTATGCTTAAAACATATTAGCAATTACTTATCACAATGTAAAAATCTTTCTTTCTGAGGTACAAAGACGACGATGGCGACATGGCACAAGTGTTGGCTTGTGGTCATATAGGGATGTCGATTTAGAAAAAAATTAATACTCCAATAAAAAGGGGGTTTCGGAAGAGTCCAAAATGAATGGACATTTGGAAATTGAAAATAAAAGTCAGAGTATTTCGAAAATTTCATGTAATCAGGGATTGAATTCGAACACCATGAAAATATGGTTTGCAAAATATCTTATTCTTTCAAAATAATAAATTTGACTCATAGATGGCGTTGTTGTGAAAGAACAATCAATACAAAAATATTTCAATGGTGAAACTAGTAAAAGGGCTTATACAATTTGTATACCCTCCTCACATAGTATGGAGGGTACATTAGGTTTATGATTCCGTTTGTAACAACTCGAAATATACATTTTGGACCATACATTATTCCTGATCAGCATAACATTTTATGTCGATTTTGTCCGTCTGTGGAAATCACTCTAGCTTCCGAACGAATTACAGTAGGTTTATAAAATTTTACTCAAATGTGTGTTTGGTCTGCAGGACTTTTGGTATTAAAATAGGTCCACGTTTAGGTATAGCCCCCATATAACTATACCTCCCTATATTCGGTTTTTTAATAATTTTAGCGACCTTATTCACCGGAATTGTTTCAAATTAGGTATTTGAAGTTCCTGTGCAGGTCCACGTTTTAGTATAGCCCCCATATAATGGTACCTTCCGATTCTCGGTATTTTGATGATTTTAGCGACATTATTCACCGGAATTGTTTAAAATTTGGTATTTAAATTTCGTAATGGATACTACAGCCTGTGACAGAAAATTGCCTATGCAGGTCCGGGTCTTCGTATATCCTCCATATAACTTCACCTCCCTATATTATTCTGTATATGTGTATATTGATTTTAGCTACATTATTCACCGGAATAGATTCAAATTTCGTATTTGTAATTCGTAACGAGTACTATAACCTGCGACAGAAAATTGTCTATGCAGGTCCACACCTTCGCATAGCACCCCCTATATTGTTACCTCCCTATATTCGGGATTTTGATGATTTTAGCTACATTATTCACCGGAATTGTTTCAAATTTCCTATTTGCACTTCGCAACGAGTACTACAAAATGTGACAGAAAATTATCTATGCAGGTTCACACCTTCGCATAGCCCCCCATGATTGGTAAGGACCCAAATATAAGGTTATTCCCTATATTAAGCATTCTTCAAATTTTAACAGAATTGTTAACGGATTTTTTTTTGAAAATATTAAAATTCATTCCATTTGGTGGATGGGCTTCAAAGTTCGGCCCGGCCGAAGTTGCTACTTACTTGTTTTATTTGATTTTTTTCTCTTAAAGGGTTATTCTTTTACATTTTTAAAAATAATCAATAGAGTCTCAGATTTTTTAGTAAAAAACTGGATCTGAATTCAAATTCCATGTAAATATGAAATGGGGAGATAAAATGAGCCATGGGTGGCGTTGTTGTGAAAAAAAAATGATCAGGAAGTACAAAAATGTCATAATAGTTTTGCCCATTACATTGTTAATGGTGAAAGTGGGTAAAAGGGGCGAAATGTGAATTCTATGTTTATAAAATTTTCATTTGAAAATGTATTCCTTTCTGAAATTATATATTTCATGTATTAAGAGAACATAAATTGAGTCCCAGATTTTCATATAAAAAAAACTTGATTTGATTTTTTATGTAAATATAAAATGAAACCTAGATGGCGTTGTTGTGAAAACTGGATCGGTAAGGACATATATATATTTATTTTTATTGCTCTAAATTTTTAAGCAAAAAAGAGAAATGTAAATTCAAAATTTATAGAATTCTTCTTTAGAATCCCAGATTTTCCTATAAAAAATATGGAACATCAGGTAGTTGTAGAGAAAACTTCATGTCATATAAGGAAACCCGAACCCCTATTTTTTTCTTAAATATCTCCCAATTGCCTTCCCTACTGATTACTCTTTGCTGCATATTGTGCTAAGGCCATACCAAAACTCCTTCTTTTTTTCTGTATGATTTTTTCCAATTTGCCAAACGAAAGAGCTGTGCGATTGCAGGTGATTGCCAATGAATTGTACTCCCCTTTGTGATGCAAAAATGCCATAGCCTCAATGCAATGATGTTGCCAACATGTATGTGTGGCTGTGTGCGTACGTGCGTTTCTGTGTGTGTATGTGTGGTTTTGTATCAAGTTAAGGCCTTTAATTTTTTTATCAGCCATGAAATCTTTGTTATAATGGCCCGATGGCCATTGCCCGCAACAAATTCATTCGATGCGTATTCAATAAAATTACAAAACTTACAATGATCTTCAATAACCAAACACCCAGACGACAACAACGACGGCTACGACGACAGTCAGCCACCACCACTCAGGCATGGAGGCAAACATAATCACCGAAGCTGTTCATACACATGGGCATACATGCTGCCAATTGATAAGCATCATTGGTTTTTCAAAAAGAAAACGAAGAAAAAAAAATTACAAAACAACAACAAAGACGACAATATTCAATATGACACTTGTTGTAGAAATAAAGATTTTATTTCCCAGAGTGAGGGACAGAATCCAGGGACAAACAACAACATTACACACACAACGACACACATCGACTACGCAACAAAACAAATGAAGCAACATTGTCTCAAATTACAATTTAAGCCAAGTCAAGACAGCACATCTAGACAATATCTAGAAAAAATTTAAATCAGACAGACAGCCAAAAAAAAAAAACAAAAACATTAACATGTTTAATATACAACTTTATCAAACCTCCAAAGTGTGTGACCCAATACCATGACCAATGTGTTTGCCGTAATTCACACGTGGGAGTTAAAAAAAAACCTCTCTGGCTTGGATTGATTGTCCATAATTTGTTTATTATAACCTTTTGACTCTCGTCGTCGTTTTCCCTTTGCTTTTGATTTTGTAATTTTTCTTTATGTGTCGCGCTTATGTCGCGCTGTTATGCAGCTATCTATGCTATGCTACGCCAAGCTCTGTAACTTACCTGCATCCAAAATTCTCTGTTTCACCGAATGCTGTCGACTGTGCCAAAATTGCCAGGCTTTGATTTCATCTTCAGGGGATTTTTCTTCACGGAACATTAACATAATGACACTCTGTTGGCGGGGGGTGCGGAAATTGGAGGGAAGACAAAGAAAAATAAATAAGTTAATATTAGTAATTTATTTTAAATTTTGTTTTTTGGGAAAGTTGTATATAAATAGAGTTTTTAATAATATATAAAAAAAATAATGAAATTTTTTTTTTTAAATTGTTTAGAAAAAATGTTTAAGAAAGTCTTCAATGCAGGCCAATATAGAGAGGTGTTGCGTATTAATTCAAGACTCATGTGTCATTTGAATTCATAACATACAGGGTGAGATGGAAAAATGCAACCAACTTCAGGCTGCTGTCATTTCATTTTGGTGAGATTTTTTCCAGAAAAAAAAATATATTCGTGATGGAATTCAAGCGTGGTAGTGTGATTTCTTTATATTTGGCTGGAAAACCACAAGTGGCTATCGTTAGAGCATTCCAGCATTTAAATGTGAATAAATTTTTTGTGTCTCGTACCATCGCTCGTCACCGTGATACTGGTAGCGTAGACCGACGTCAAGGAAGTGGACGGAAGAAAATATCAGCAACATCAGCAGAAATTTTTCGAAAAGTAAAGAAGCGATTTTATCGAAACCCGAGTAGCAGTGACCGAAAATGGCTGGTGAGCTGAACATATCGCAATATTCCATTCGGAATATTGAAAATTGAGCTCGGGGTAAAGCCATTGAAATTCCAAAAAGTGCAAGAACTTACACCGCAACAGAAAGAAAATAGACTCAAAAGAGCTAAAGAGTTGCTTCGCTTGAGCGAAAGTGGTGACCTGGCGAATTTGGTTTTCTCCGTCTCCGATGAGAAAACATTCGTTGTCCAGCAGTTTGTAACAAACAAAATGATCGTCTCTACTTGCCAAAGAGGTCAGCTGCAAAATGTGCATCTTCGGTTGGCCACCAGAACTCAAGCGCCGGCCATGGTGATGGTGTGGGCCGCCATAACAGCCGTAGATCGCCCTCCACTCGTATTAATCGACCGTGGCATAAAAATAAATGCCAAATGTTATCGTGAAAATATTCTGGAGGAAAATATTCTGTATTAAAGCCTTGGGCACGCAAACATTTTGGGCGCAGACCTTGGTCATTCCAACAGGACTCAGCACCATCGCACTCAGCCCCAAGAATGGTTACAAATTGAGGTTCCTCGCTTCATTTTCAGCGCACAATGACCACCAAAACCTCCGGATACCACTCCCGTTGGACTATTGTGTCTGGAGTATTTTTTAAAGCAAAGTTGGAAGTAAAAAATACCAAAGCATCGATCACCTCAAACAAGCGCTTCGCCGGGAATGGGCCAAAATACCCGAGAGCAACATTTGGGCAGCGTGTGACGGTTTCATTGGCCGTTTGAAGGCCATAATTCGAGCCAAAGGTGATCAATTGGAACAAATCATAACTTATTCTAAAAATTGATGCTATTTCCGATTTAAAAATTTAAAAAAAAAAAATATGTAAAAATAATGGCCTTTGACTTTGTTGCAGTTTTTTTATCTCAGCTTCTACATCAGAATTAGCTGCAATTTAACGACTTGGTTACTAAGTGAATTGAAACTTGCCCCGCAAAAATTGCCTACGTTTCGACATAAATCCCACATACTGAAACCGTCCGAATTTGGATATTTTGGAACTTCCAAAGTACCGAATCGTCCAAAATACTGAAAGTCCGGAGATACCTTTTTTAGAGGCTACACCTAAATATGAACCGATATATCAATATCAAGCACTCTACGAATAGTATCAACGCACATAGTGAAACCGTCCGAATTCGGATATTTTGAAACTTCCAAAGTACCGAAACGTCCAAAATACTGAAAGTCCGGAGATACCTTTTTTAGAGGCTACACCTAAATATGAACCGATATATCAATAACAAGCACTCTACGAATAATATCAATGCCTATGCAAATTCTCAAAGCTATATCTTAATAATGCGAGCTCTCTCGTTATTTCTATAGGCTATGAAGCTAGGCTAGAATCGTACAGAATTTTAAGCTGATCATGAATGTACCAAAAAACATTTTGGAAGATATCGACATTATAGTAGAAATGGCTCCAAAAAAATATTTTCTAAAAACTTAGTCTTGAGAACCAATAAGTATTGGGTTTTACTATCTTCAATATTTACAACTATACAGAATATTTCAAGTTCTTTTAACCGCGAAAATTCGATATTTTTTGTCAGATAGTATTTTCTAGGAATTTTCAAATATAGGAAAATTGGAATAATTTAGTTGGGCCCAATGAAGTTTTGAATTGAAAACTTGATATTGTATATGATAGCCCAGCCCAAAAAATTTATTTATGAGGAGAAATTTCAAATCTTTTCCCTTTATTAACATATTTAATGATTTGAAATCTTAATATTTCATTTAAAAAAAAAATTCCAAGAAAATCTATACGAAAATTGGAAATTTGTTCCACGAAAGCAGACACATGAAATTATTATCAACCTTTTTTGGAAATTTCAATATCCCATCACGCCATTAACAACTGCAATACAAACAAAAGTCAAAATGCTTAAGAAAATGAAAAAATATGGAAATTTTCTTGTTGGAAATGAATACTAAAACAAATTATGGTATTTTCTTGAAAATAATAAAAATTTACATAATTTCTTTTTTTCTCCCTGCCAAGAAACAAAAATAGCGATTACGAAGAGATAAACTACTAAAACAATAGAAAGAAGATGAGATATGTGGAGATGAGCATCTGCAAAAAAACTGTGATTCAAATCAACCCCTTCTTTTGCTTCTCCTTCGTTAACACCCTATCGTGGCGATGCATCCTTTAAGTACATTTGTATGCCATTCTTCCTCCCAACAGACAATCTCAGAGATTTGCCATGCTTAGTTAAAAAGGTGAGAGAGGGAGAGAACTGATTTTGATATGCGTGTAGGTAAATGATATCTTGGCCCTGTGTGTTTGTGCGTGGATCATAAATAATTTTCAATGAAATAAAAAAATTTGCATTCAATCCTTTTTGGCTGGCATGCTACTGATGTCGTTGCTGGGGGGATGATGCTGCTCCTACCGGGGAAAAAAGGGCTTAATAGTTAAACAAACATAAATTAATGCTGACACTTTATGCTGAAAGACATTTGATTTCGTCTTATTGTAAGAAATACCCAAAGGTAAGATTATGAGACTGCTGCTGCTTCTGTGACTACGACTGGGGCTGCTACTGCTCCTCGTGTTTTTTTTTTTTTTTTTTTTTTTTTTTTTTTTTTTTGTTTGTTTGTTACTTGAGCCTTTGGCTTAATTTATTGGAATTTTATGCAAATAATTTTAAATGCATTTTAAAAACTGCATCTTATCTTTTGAGCAACTGAACACAGATATGCCATGATGCAGAGCGGCTGGTTCAGCATCATCAACGCCATCATGCTTTAAAGTCAAACGGCAGTTCAAGCAGTTATTGGAAATGGCAAAAAAACAAAAAATGCGATACAAGAAACGACTGAAACCATCTCCAGCGGATCGGTAGCATTTTCCATGTAGCCAGTCATTACAAACAAAATAAATTGATATCATAAAATTAATACAGTTAAATGTCTGAATTGTGGGCCTGGGGAGAAGAGAGAGACCAAACTCAAAATAAAAAAAAAAATGTTTTATATTTTCTAATTTCCAATGTGGACAGGCCTCAAGGCCTTTTGCCAAGAGACATTGAAAGAAAAAAAAACACAACCACGCATTTCATATTAAGCGTACACGCAGCAGCCTCAATTTAAAACGAGTGAAATCTTTGTTTTTCTTTGCAAAAAAAAAAATGGTGAAAATCTCATTTTACGATAAAGGAAAGTTACAGCTTTAGCTTAGGCGACAAATTATAACATCAAATTGAAAGCAAAAAAGAAGAAACATAACAACAAATCCGTTGAGGAGAAACCATTGAAATTTGAAACATTTTCATTTAATTTGAAATAAAATATCCTTTTCAAGTGTTTTGTCAGAGCAACAAATTTGCATATCCGGTTTGATTTCTTATCTTCTTCGTCTTTCTTTGATTGATAATGTTTCTTTTTCTCAAGAAATGAAAAAAAATGGAATTCAAAATATTTCTGCACTTAACCCTAAATAAATTTACACTTGAACTTAAATTTCCATGGCATAAAGACGATGATGAGAGACTGCGCAAATTGTCTAACAAAGGAATAACAAGGACCCATGGAAATAAATCATTCATACAAATCATTTATCATTCATCATCTATCAACTCATCATCATCAGCAGCAGCGGCAGTTCGGCCTATCATTGGGAAACAATCGGCCAACAAAACACTGATTTGAAATGACATTGACGAGTGAGTGAGTGAGTGATCATCTAAGAAAAGGCCCGCCAGGCCTAACAACTGTACTTAAAGAAAGACACAGAAGACTGAGAGAAAAAAGGGGGTTGCTGCTCATAACCATGGCCCGGCCAGGAAGTGCTAAAATCTTAAATCATGCAGAACATGACAAATCACCAAAACGTTTGTTTATATAACTCTTTCTTTTCACACACACACGGAGAGAAAACGCACAGGCACATGATCAGACCGACCGGCAATGTTTGTTTAAGAAATTGTCTGGCCTGGATGGTTGGATGAATGTGCGTACCCCCTACTCCTTTTTTCGGGCCTTCATACATATATCAAAATTTAGACTTAAAGGAAACAAACATTAAAATTTGAAATTTGCATATCTTCCTTTGGCAAACCTATATCCTTGTTTGATGATTTATCAACTTCATAGCTCTCTTTTTGTTTCCCTAGATTTACTTTCTTTTAATAGACTTATTTTCGATTGCATTGAAGGTTGAAATTTCTTCTTTAAATTCTTTGACTTACCTTGGCTGTTGTATTTTTCAATGGCTTATCCGGATCGGGTATATATTCCAATGTTATGCCATAGAATTGTCCTTTATTGATGTATGTAATGCGATCATCTTCTCGTCGTTGTGATGATGAGATTGGCGATTCCAGGTGATATCTGAAGCCAACATTTGAGAAACTGGGGAAAAATAATAAAATAAAAAAAAAAAATAGAAATTATTAAATATCCACTCACAAATTCTCTCCATTAAGATAACATTTTCAAATAAAAATAGTTCATAATTAGTAAAAATGGCAGTAGGAAAATGAGAAAAATTTGGATTAAAATGGTTAGGGAAAATTAAGAGTTAAGAACACATTTTGTCTCATATTCCTAGTAGCAGGTTCTTATATTTCCTCAAAAAATTTGAATTAAAACGGTTAGGGAAAATTAAGAGTTAAGAACAAATTTTGAGTCTCATATTTCTCGTAGCAGGTTTTTATATTTTCTCAAAAATATTATGACGAGAAACTTCGATTTTTCCAAATTTGTGATAACCATACAAGTTTGGTATTCTGCTTATGTGTCCCATACTGCATTTAGAGAATTTGGCGACTTAGGTGTATCTAAGATTTTCGGTGAATTCTTTCGACATTTTTGATTGGATGTTTCCTATTTGATCTAGTTTCGAGATAAAAGCGTTGGATCATTGGCTCAAAAAAAAAAAAAAAAAAAAAAAAAATATGAGAAAATTTAATAACTTCCTTCCATGTAATAGAAAATATATCCCATCAAAATTTTGCTTTTGAAAAATTCTCTGCAAAATTTATTTTCTAAGAGATGTAGGTAAAAATATATTGGATAAAGAAGAACTATAGAATTTTACGACAGTAAAAATTTTCATTTTTATTTCTTAAAAATTTTCATAAACCATGTTTCATCAACAGTAAATAAAAAATAAACCTTTTTTCTACTTAAAAGAAAAATCCATGATTTGGGAAAATATTGAAGATTTCGAAAAAAAATCTTTATTTTTTATTTAAATATTTCGGTAGAGTTTTTTTAGAGAATCACTAAATATTAGTAGCTCGTCAATTCGATCTTCTCGTGTTTTTTCTATTTCCACTAGTATTCCCTTCCCAGAAAGGCATGGAAGACCATAATGAGCCTAAAATATCATTACCATATAATGGGTATCGTAAGCAGTTAGTGGTCGGAATTGTTTACCAATTGGACTACTAGCCTATTACTTAACATGGGGTCAACATGGCTTCCAGGTAAGTGTTTATGTGTAAAAATAATTGAACACACAAAAAGTCCATACTAAACCACTTACAGAGTATGCACTTGAATGAGGGATAGATATGGGCAAATTTTCGGCAACATTTAAAAGATAAGAGACGAGGTGATCGGTGACCAAAAATCATATTAAGAGTGTTTGGATGATAAAAGTGTCCATTGATTAGTATACTATTACATATGAACATCTCTTAAATGCATAAGATAATGAGTGGTCATTACCTTGTAATGCATGAAATAATAACTTGTGAGTACCAACATTTCTGCTGAATACTTTTATAATCCAAATTTATACCTTTCCATTTTTCAAGCCCAAACCCATTACTTTTCAGCCGGCTGGTAATGCAAAAGTATGCATTTCTACATTACTTTGCAATGAGTTGAATTTAAAAAGACATTTATCCCACAAAAATGTGAAAGTTAAGTTTAAAAAAATATTTTTTTTTTAATTTCTTCTCCCAATGCGTTTACTTAAATCTGAAGCTGGAAAAAAATTCTCGGCGGGATAGAAATCAAGAAAGAAAAATAATCGGGATACGAATAAAATGTCTCATAGTCTTCTCTTAAAGATTTTCCTAAGCCCTTCCTAATTTTCAAAGAAAGTAATGCAATTTTTTCCATTTTTTTTTTTTTTTGAAAATCTATGAAAAGCTCAACATTATCTGATTTTATTTCATTTTTGCAGGCAAGTCTTATTTTTGGTTATTCAAATATTTATTTTGGGTTAATTTGTTAATTTCAAGATTTTTTCCCAAGACGATACGATCCTCTATTGAAAATTATCGCTTGTGAATGCGATTTTCCTTGAAAAATCCTATTCCACATTTTTGTACCGGAAGGTCGGAATTCGGTTCAATATTTATTTATTGAAAAAATAATAGTTAATAGGATTTTCAATATTTTTCTTCGAATAATGAGAGAACAAAATGGCGCTAAAACAAATCTTAAAATTTTTGTAGAAACATTTGGATGCGGAATACAAGAAAAGTTTTGAAGCTATTCCATATGAGACTAGCTTTTTACATAAGTTTCGTTTCAAAGGAAAATATAAAGGGTTGAACGAAATAATAGATTAAAAACATTTCTTGGAAACTTAAAAAAAATTATCAGAATTATAAATTAAAAATATTGAGGAAATCTACTTTTTTAGACTTTCGAACGCAAACGATTCTAAATACGTATTCTCTAAAAAATATAAATTCAAAAATTTTCAAAAAATATGAAAAGGAAAAGAATACATGTATCAATATCATGTATTTTACGGATATATATCCTAGATCTGATAAGGATACATGTATTTTTTGTTATCATATGTTTTCAAGAGTTCCTTTTAATACACTTTTAGCTATACTTTCTTTTCTATTTCCTAATTTATTTTTTATATTATATTTAATTATTAATTTATTTATCCCCTTTTGGATTTTTTCAATATTGCCTACTTATATACCCAGACAAATCTTATATTCTGTTAGTCAAGACTTTTATTGGGTATTGGTAATTTCAAGATGTTTTTCCCCAGTACATAAAATTTTCATTATCAATTTTTTCCCAAGATTTCCATGTAGTACCCTCTTATCCATACTTTCTCTTCTATTTCTGAACTTATTTTTTAATTTATAATTTCTTTAATTATTTATTTTTCTTGATTTTTTTGAAATTTCAAAATCTAAAAATTACTCACATTTTTGGTATTTGTATTTTATCAGCATCATTTTGACGGCCAAAATCATGCCATGGACGGGAACGGGTGGCACTGCCATTGGCGCTGGTGCCGCCCAGCGATGTGGTCGGACTATTTTGGCCGCCATGAACGCTGACAGCACCGCGTGGTATGCTATTGACGGAAACTGGTATGCCACCATTATTGTCCAGCAATGAGCCGGGCTGGCAAAGTTCTGTGTAATCGAAGGACTGTAAGAGAGAAAAGGACAAAACATGAAAATGTAAAATTTCTCATAAAAATAAAACAAATTTTTAATAAAAAATATATTTATGGTTATTTTAATTCAAAAGGTTAAACTAAAAAAACAAATACAATACAGGACGCTACACGCTTGGCGAAGTTTTGTTTGGGACCAGTTTTGTTTTTCTACAAACATAAATTACAACAAAAAAAAGCTGAAACAAAAACACAAGACCTGGAATCCTTTTTTCGAAGGATCCAAATTACAAAGCTAAACAAATATTATATTTTTTAAGATTAATGTTTTAGTTATTATTATTTTTTTAATTATAGTATTTTCAAAACTTACCTGTTGTATATTGTTTTGATCGCGCGGCGTTATGGCATCCGCTCCAATACCCGAATCCGGACTCGGCAAATCCACTGTTAGTCCAGCTGCAGTTACCGCCTTGGCATAGATTGGTGTGCCACCATTTTTCAAAACATTTGGTGTGGAGTGCGGTGGCGGTATACCATTATTTGTGGTGGTTGTTGTGGTAAAACGTCCCTCGTATGTGGTGCCCGGCTGGGGTCCCTCACTGTCGCCATAAATGGTGCGTGTGGGTGCATAACCTTGGCCATCGGTTGTGGTGGTGGTGGTGAAATATTCCCTGTAATAGGGTTCCGACAAAAATGTGGTGGTGGGAGCTGTGGTCAGACGGCTGGTGGCATACATGCCATAGCCATCGGCTCCTATATACGGGCCCGGACTGGGGGTTTGTGTGTTGACATTGCCACCGGGACCAACGGCTGAATTTTGATGGGGACCCTTTTTTTTTGAGTTTACATAGAAAAGAGAGGGAGAGAAGCAAAAAAAAAAAAAACAACAATAAATCACATTGTTTGTGGGGGTGTTGCCGATAAGCTTATTAAAGCTCTAGAATGCTGAGAAGAATGAAATAACAACTTTGCACATGTGTCCCAACATTTTTGTGTTCTTTTTTTGTTTTTTGTTTGAATAGGCAAGGAAAGGGAATGTGGTCCGGTTGGTTTTTGGTTTCGGGTTTTTAAGCCCATCGTTAAGGCATTTAGCTTTGTGGAGGTGTGCATGTTCTTTTTTTTTTTGTTGGAAATAAACGCTCAATGATGTTGCCTGGTTGCCTGGTTGGCTGGCTGGCTGTTTGTTTGTTTGGCTGATCTGTGGCGTGTGTGAGGAACGTGTTCTTTTTTTTGCCCGATGCTTGTCGGACTCTTTTATATACTTTTTGGAGAGGAGATTCCGGTTTAGTAACTACTGGCGCTAAATCATTTGTTGATTTTTGTTAGCAGCCTTTTTTGTACCAATGCCAATGTTGTTCTTCCCATCAGCAGCGGCATGATCATCATCACCAACAACAGCTGTTGCTGTTTTGTTAACGGTTCCATCAACCTGTTCCCCAACACCTTGCTACTCATAATCTCACGATTGATGATAATAACGAAAAAAAAAAAAAAAAAAACAGTAGCCAGAACAAAAGCAAAGCAGACGGGGAAAAAGTGGCCTACCGCAAAAGGCAATATATTTGACACCAACTGTCATGAAAGTGAAAACATAACAACAAAAAGAACAAAACACGAAAAATATAGACCACCATGAGACCAGATCAGCATCGTCAGCCAGCAGCATCATTGATGAATTTGTCATATGATGACCAGTTTTTGTTTTTTTTTTCTTTCTTTCTTTTTTTTAAAGAACACTTCCAAGTTTTGTGAATTAGCAAATGGTGGGAAAGGAGGGGGGGGGGGGGGGGGGGGGGGGGTTGATGGATATTGGGGTTCATTGTGCTTTTTGTTGGCTATAACTCACCTGTAGATAAATTTGAGTGCCGCCGCCGGCAGCGTACATGGCTTCTGTTTGATTTGTGGGACTTCCAGGACTGGGTGGCGGCTCTTTAATTTGTATGTGTGTGGGCGATGGTGATTGTTGCAATACAATGACCTGTTGAGGGGGGGCAAGTAATGTAATTTTTTTTTATAGAAATAAAAATTCGAAACAAAATTTTTGGCAAATAACAAAAAGTGGGCTAAACTTTGGAGAATAAAACGTGGATTCTGGAGTGGAGAAAAATCATAAAATCCGATACCGAGTTGTTGGCTCAGTGGTTGTGTGGTTCTTTGGTACTATTTTTTATATTTGTATTGGTTTGAATGCTATTTACCATTTTTGGTAAGCTTTTTTATGGGAAATATGCCGCGTTGGTGTTGTTTTATTTGTTTTCTAAACTAAACAATTTTTTTCCGATACCCTCCTGCCTATACATTTTCTATGAAATCCATTTCAAAATAAAAACGTCATAAAAAAATAACAATAAAATTCATTTTAAAAGCCAACATAAATTAAATTCAACATTCAATTCAGAAAAAAATTAGCATATAAATCTTCAAATACTAGACAACGAAAACTAAAGCCATTATTGGTCATCTGCAACATCATCGTCAGCAGATGATTACTTAACTTTTATTGAGCATCACAGAAAAAAAAAAAAAACAAATAAATATCAAACAAAACGCATGTCAAACGCCAACTGAAATCATCAGCAGCATCATCTCCACATGCGTCACATGGAAACCTTCAAAGCCCAACAGCCAAAAAGATTTCGTTTGTTTTGAATCATCTTCTCGCTGAAGTGAAAACAAATCAAATACACCAGCTCGATGTTGAAACTAAGGCCCCACCTATCATAAATTTCTCTGGATTTGGAATTAGTTATAACTTGTAATACTAATACCAGGCAAACGAAGATAAATGTAAGAAAAAAAAAAATTCCAAACTTTATTAAAAGCGTTTAATTAAAATAAATTAGTTAATTTTATGTTTTAGGCTGGCCAAAAGGGAGTTGCATTTATAAACCACTCACAAAAAACCATGGCTTAAATGAAGAAAGTTTTGAATTACATAAACTATTTAAATCCCATAAATGATTAATTTATTACAAGCTGAAGGTGACATTGTCACAAACCACGAATTTATGTTGATGTCGCAGTTTTTTTCGAATGAGCAGCAGCACAACCTTCCCAATAACCGAGACTATGTATAAGTTTTGACACCATATCTGGGTGATTGATGTGTGGCTTAGAAAATTGTGATGGTTTCAAAGTCAGCTTTTGGCCAACAAATCGGTAGCTAATTATAATTGGTTATGCTTGTACTTATCAGCTCTCAAAACAAATTATAGGCTTTGGATCAATGTTATTGTCTTGTCGGGTCTAGTGGTTTCTTGAAGATCTATCAACATGGCAGGGAAGTAAATATAACCTGTCAAAATAATCAAAAGAATGGGGAGTTGAATGGTAGTTTTTGGGTAAAAAAACCTTCAGTGTCAATATGGCAGGGCGTACGTGGAATTTGAAATTGAATTTTAACAAAAAAAATAAATAAAAAAATAAACAAAAATAAATAAATAAATAAATAAAATAAAATAAAACAAAATAAAGCCAAATATTTAAAGTGACCTCTAGAACAAAATAACAAAACCACTACTTCCTAGGTTCATAATAAAAAAATCCAATAATATTGAGGCCCACCAAGAATTTTGGAGTTAGTTTTAAATATTGAATTTTTTAAGAAACACTTTTTTATAAAAAAATCAAATCCTATTTTTAGAAAAATCGCTCAAAATATATACACAATTCAAATATTTTACCCTCGATCATATTATCGAAGAATAACAAATCTCCCATACACCTAGAATTTGAAAAAGTGAAGTGTTTTCTTTTTGCGATATATCCAAGATCATTTCCGCTCTTCTGAAAATTGGGAATATTTCTGAATCGGTCAGCGAGAATAGAAAACATGACCTAAAACATTTTTTCCTACAAAACAGTGTTGCATTTGAACGTTGAAATAAAAATTAAAGTTCGAGAGCTTTGATGTAGTCTGAAAAACATAACGAACCCTTTTGGTGAGGTGAGGTGTACCCAACGGCCGAAAAATTACGATTTTCAAGCAAAATTCTCTACAAATATCTAAAAAAAAATTTGGACAGGATCCGGGCTCCAATCCTGGCTATGTCGATGCTCGATATTTTACACACAATTGTGCATATGTCGCGCAAGTATTCAAAACCGTTGTTTACGTCTCAAATTTCTTAAACGTTTGAATAAAAATAAATATTATTTTTTTTTTAAGTTTTTTTGAATGGGTTCTCAGAAATTACGATGCAACAAATTGTGAAATTTGACTTAGTAACAATACACTCAAAGTTCAAAGTTACCCGAGATATGACTCTTTTCTTCTCAGAAATTTAAAAAAAAAATATAGAATAGCAAAGATTGTGATTAAGATAATAATTGAATATCATATTTGGCTACCTTTCCAATAGGTCTTTTTTCATAAAAAATATTATAAATCGCTGGTTTAGCATCATCGATTTCAGAATATGAAATCGCATTCTGAATTTTCAATAATTTTTATGAAATTACATAGTTTTGAGACTAATTTAGGTATTTTCTATTACCTCTTTTTTATAAAATAATATTTTTTTTATATATAATTATTTATATTTTCAAAAAATTTCAATTCTGGATTATTTAACAGAATTATGTACATTTTTTAAATTATTTAAGAAAACAATTTATACCCTTAAAATTCAACAGAAATTATTTTTTTAATTCAATTTGGATTTTGGCAATTAAGTTTAATTCTGTAAAAAATGAACGTCAGGTCCACCCTATTTTTTCAAGATCACAAAAATTATGAAAAAGATATGACAAGGTTTCAACTAAAGAAGAGGGCTTTGAATAATTTTGTATGTATATTTCCATGGTTCTAAAGTAGATAGGATATTCGTCTTTGGATTTTGGCAATTGGGTTTAAATTTGTACTAAATGAACAGCAGTCCACGTTTATGAATAACTTTCAAATCCTCAAATTTTTTTTCTTAAAATCAAACATTTGTGTGACAGAATATTTATTGAAAATGTCTATAGAATCCATAAATATATTATTTTTCCTATAGCAGTATCGTCTATATCTCATTTCAAAATTCATTTTATTTTTTCAAACCAGTTACTTAAAAATTGATCATTATTTTCCTTTAATTATCTGCACATGAACATGATATAATATAAAATTCAAATAAAAATTAAATAAATTTTCTTAATTAAAACTCAATTCAAATGCAAATTTTTTATTAAGAAAAAAAGTCCCCTTCATCGACAATAATTCATTTATTCAAATTTTTGTTTTTGGGCAAATATGAAACAATGCACACAAAAAAAATGTCATATATTTCTTATATCATCGAATTTATTATTTGCCATGACTAAGTTAATATATATTTTATTAGAACTTACTAAAAAGGGAAAAGATAGGAGGGGGAGCGAGGCGTTTTAAGGCAAATGCTTTTGTTTCAAATATCAAAATGTTATTTGATTTAAGTAAGATTAAAACAAAAATCTGTTGCTCACTGTGTTTTCGAAATGTCACAAAACAAAAAGCAATTCATAGCTCTTCATTTTAATGGCATTGCTTATTGGCTTTTGGGTTTGCCTTAACAGTGGGCGTAATTTTATGGCCATTGATTGTTTCGTATTTAATCTGATGTATGGCCATAGGAATTACCATAAAAATAGAATTAACACACAATTCTTAATTAGTTGATGAAACGCAAAATTTCCCCCAAGAACTTTATGGAGAAATAAAAAAAATTATATGTCCTTGAATTTGAAATGAAATTTAGATAAAAATTTTCGTAAAAAAATCTTCGAAATAATTGACTATTAAAACAAAGTTGGATAACATATCCACGAAAAAAATCCTCAGATTCTCCCTAGCCTTTTTATCATTAACTTGTCATTTCATTTTGACAAATTGTCCCCAAGAACTTTATGGAAAAATTAAAATTTTATACCGAAAAATTATGACTTTGATTTTTTAATAAAACTTATTTAAAGATTTTTTAAAAAAAAATCCAAAAAAATTGATTATAAAGGACGAATAATCCTAACATACCCATGAACAAATTTCCTCAGATTCTCCCTAGCCTCTTTGTCATTAACTTGTCATTTAATTTTGCCAAATTTTCCCCAATTTTATGGAGAAATTACAATTTTTAACCGAAAAATATGTCCTTAAATTTAAAATAAAATTCGGCAAAAAATGTTCCTAAAAAAAATCCGAAATAATTGATTATTAAGATAAAGTCGAATACCAAAAAAATCTCCTCAGATTCTCCCTAGCCTTTTTTAACATTAACTTGTCATTTCAGTTTGCCAGACTTATTGTCCAGTTTTGTTGTGTGTGAGTTTTTTTTTCCGCTTTTAATTTGTGACTAGAATTGCAAACAGGAAGTAAATTCCATCCTACATTTACGTCAAATGACGTAGTATCGGCTAAAGATAGTTGTTGTATAAGAAAAACAACAACAACAGAGCCACGCAAATATATTAAAAGATTGGTTTTCTGTCAACATCTTATTTTTGTTGTTTTGCTTTTTTTTTCGCAAATATTTTTACACACAATGCAAATAAAAAGGTGAAAGACGACATGAAGCAAATCAGACCGACAGACAGGTAGGCTCTTTGCTTATTAAGGTGTATGGCTGTCTGTCTCTGTCACTTTTGGTCTGTTTTTAGCATTAAAATATCATAAGGATGTCATAAAATTGCAATTAAATAATAAGTTTTACTGTTGTTTTTGCTGTTGCGATTTTTTTGTAAATGTAAAAACTATAAGTAATACTTATAAGTTATTTAAGGCAATGATAAGCCTGAAGATAAAAGTCAAGACAAAAATAATATTTAAAAAAAAAAAATTATATTAAGTATATTTTTTATGTTGAAATGGAAAGGAATTGGTAGAAAAATAAAATATAAAAAAGAAACAACATGGAGGGAATTTCCATGGCCCTCAAAAATGATGTATATTAAGTAACTCATATGAGTAATGCAATGTCAAGGGATATTTTGATTTTTTTTAATGGAATGCTTAAACTTTTG